GATCCGGTTATTTAGCTCAATCGAATCAACTATTTTTATTACACTTGATGTTGGCATAAAAACTATTTTGGATCATTACAAATATTCGGATGATGGCTCACCGACGTTGGCCGTCGACGGTGTTTAACAGAATTATTTGTTTTGCAAAATTGTACCAGTAAAACGCTTTAGGCGGTCTAATGACCCGATTAGCGATGAAAAGTTTAAGCCGGCGATTCGATTATCAACGTAAATTATGGCCAATGTGTATTTTTTCAACTACATTTATTTTATCGGGTTCTTCGCTTAGATCTTAAACATATTTCACTCTAAAATTATTTGTTCCGTCGAATTCAGACGACTATACCGTCACTCGCGGACATCAGTAACGTGAGGAACACAGCGAAGCCTCTGCCTAGCGTTTATATATGACATTTTTAGATTTTAGAGTTTTTATTAAACATTCATTAATAACTTGTTGAACTACTTACTACAACAACAATTAAAAAAAAAACATTCAAAAAACATTAAACCTATATTTACCAACGATTTCCACGATGAAGGAAAAACATCGTGTTACATATATTTTTGAAGTGAAAACTTCTTTAGAATCGTTGTGATTTCAAACCGGATGCAACGGAAAAAACGACAGGTAAGAGACACAAATACAAAAATGTGTAGGATGAAGCCAGCAAAGAATGAGACAGAAATATACATACTATTTAATACAGCGCCATCTGTGAGATTTTTTAATACTAACGTGTGTATGAAAGCTCTTGTAGTGAATTTTAATTTAGGATTATACGTGAAATTAAAATATCAATTCACAGAGGGCGCTACCTTACAATTATTTACTAATGACAAAATTTTACATATACTTAAGACGTTTAGGATAATTGTATTTTAATTTTGGAAGGTTTCACTTCTACCACGTGTNCCATCATGTGCCATACATCTTCGCAATGGACTGAAGCATTTCCTCTCGTACTGATGGGCATGCGCAGTTCCTGGAAGGATGACATTGACGCATCCCCTGCAGAGCTGGTGTACGGCGAGCCCCTCTGTCTGCCAGGTCAATTCATTTCACCAAATGAAGACTACAAAGTGTCTGACGTCACTCAGTATGCAACTCGTCTACGTGCATGCATGGCGAATTTGACACCAAGACCGACATCCTGGCATAGCAATTCACCATTTTTTATACCTCCTGATTTACATACAACCTCCCATGTCTTCATCCGACAAGATCATGTGCGTGGTTCTCTGGTACCACCATATGCTGGTCCCTTCAAGGTTGTCAAAAGGCAGCCAAAATTCTTCACTGTCGAAGTTCGAGGGAAGCTTGTAAATGTCTCCATAGATCGTCTGAAGCCGGCCTACATGACGAGAGTTCCAGAAGGTGTATCTACAACCAAGCCTGTTGAAAAAACCACAAGAAGCGGCCGAAAGATTAAACTGCCAGATTACTATCGACCGTAGCCACGGTCTCGCCGGGGGAGTGATGTGGCGAATCACTTACTCGCCACTACTTGGGCAACCGCCTTACAATTTGACGAAATCGCTGTCGCCTATGAATTCAGGCAATCATCTATTATTGTTGTTCAACACTTCGGAATCTTAAGAAACTGCGGGCAGTACTCATCGATATTTGCTGTGCTACCCATCGTTCGTGTCAGTGCTTTACTACTCCTATATGTTATTTCTTTTTCATACCACTTGTGTCATAGTTTGTTAGTGTATATTTGTATCTACAATAAACTATTCAAAGCAGTACATATTTATACTCACTGTGTAAACCATCCTTCGTGTCAGCGCCTACCTAATACAGTTAGAAGCAGAACTAATACAACTACTTCTACAAATGAATTGCTGTTCGTTAGTCTCCTTAAAACTCGAGAACGGCTGGACCGAATTGGCTAATTTTGGTCTTGAATTATTTGTGGAAATCCAGAGAAGGTTTAAAAGGTAGATAAATATGAAAATGCTCGGAATTAAATAAAAATAACAATTTTGTTTTTCCTTTGATGTGTCCCCCCCCCCCCCGTCGGACGGATTTCTTTTGTTTGTTTTAAGTTTATTTTATACAAAAGTTTAGGTCTTTTATTTATCGATTGAGGCACTACGAAGTCTGCCGGGTCAGCTAGTAATTAATAAAAATAATAGATTTGGAATGAATCATTTCCTTACAATTTATATATAAACTAGCGGACCAAACTAGACTAGACTTTAGACGTCCTGATTGTGGCAGATTTGTGAATCTAAACCATCCGGGGCGCGTAAGAAGTTATACTTTATTTTTTATTAAATTTATTTCTTTTTTTTATTTAAATTTTAGTCAATTTTAAAAAAAACATCCTCAAACACGCATATTGGACATCCCTTTTCTTGACATCGTATAAATTCGGTAATTCTCGGTACGGTTCGGAAAGTTCACCTGCGGCTATATTCAGACTCGCCAAGTTACGCCGGTTGTATTGTAATGAGCGATTTAGTGGGCAACTTCATTACTGTTAATTTTGTGTAACGGTGCGCGCGCATCGTAAAATTTCATTCTCATCAATTTTTCATAACGCGCCTAAAGAAGTATAACTTCAAAAATTCATTCAAATCGGTTCAGCCGTTTAGAAGGAATTCAGTGATATACACACATGCAGTAGATATCTTTTCATATATTATATATATTTGAATGCATGTGCGCTACACTTCAACGGCATGCTAAGAGCCTAAAATTTAAAAGGGCTTCATGATTTTGGGTATTCGAATGCAATTAATTTATGACATCAGGCAGTAACTTTCCTGACTTACGTATAGAAGTAGTTGCACAGTCGACTCACCGGTGACGTGATGACAATCGGCGTCATTCTTACAAACGCACTTGTTCTGACAGTCCAGGCCGTACGTCCCGAGCGGGCACGGGTACTCGCACGCCACGCCCGTGTACCCGCTCGCACAGCTGTACTTGCCAGTCACGGGATCGCATGTTGTATTTTCTGAAATTAATATATTAGACAAACAATTAAGAGAAAAATTAAGTGGTGATTTTAATATTTTTGCGAAGAAGGTAACGATAGAGCTTCAGTCATTACAAGCGTTGTATATGATGACGTATGGTTTTAAGGGGGCAGACTTTTCCAAAATCGATAATTTTCTAATTTGGTTTTTATGAGAGAAGTTTTATTCATTTTGAAAATTCATGTGGATCTAGAGTAGACTATACAAAAATGTAACTATACACCATGTATCGAAACCGCTTCCAAAAACAAATACAGTTGAGAAACATTGTTATGAGAGATCGAAAAAAATAAATTAATTGATCACTTTTTTACTTGCATTTAAGTTTATATAGATCGATCGACACACGAAATTTTAGAAATGAGGGTAGTCTGAGATAACAGTTTCGGTTGCAGCTTCCGGCTGTCTTCGCGTTACATTGCGTTTACACGCAAGACGACCGACGACGGCAGTTTATATGCATGTTAAATTTGGTAAATTAATAGTTTTTCGTCTAGTTTAGGCTGTTAGTTTATTCGCGGTCCTACAACTTGTTTTAAGCGTTTTCATAGTGCGTTATTACTGTTAAAATATATTGATGCATGGGATGGTCAACAGTAGCATTTCTACATTGATCGATATTAGACATTTAAGTTCTTAATAAACTAGCAAAACTCAGTGAAGAGGCTATGAATACATATATCTTATGTACACGTTTACATTGTTCTGTACCATATAGTATTGGTTAAGAAAAGGTTTTTTTTATTGCTTAGATGGGTGGACGAGCTCACAGCCCACCTGGTGTTAAGTGGTTACTGGAGCCCATGGACATCTACAACGTAAATGCGCCACCCACCTTGAGATATAAGTTCTAAGGTCTCGAGTATAGTTACAACGGCTGCCCCACCCTTCAAACCGAAGCGCATTACTGCTTCATGAAATAGGCAGGCACGCTGTTATACTATATGGCACTTATCACTATCACTACATAGTATAAAACAAAGTCGCTTTCTCTGTCCCCATATCCCTATGTATGCTTAAATCTTTAAAACTACGCAACAGATTTTGATGCGGTTTTTTTTAAATAGATAGAGTGATTGAAGAGGAAGGTTTATATGTATAATAACATCCATTAAATAGTGGAGAAATCAATAATAATATTACAGTTTCCGAAGCGAAGCGAGGACGGGTCGCTAGTAGTATATATAGCGTAGTCTGAAAGCGGTTTTAGATAAGAGCGTCGCAGGCAGCAGTGCGTGCCGGGTATTTCCATTAACGGTGCTTTTAGGCACCACAAGCACCGGCCACCGTCCTCGTTGAACCCGTGCTTGCGACGAAGGGCTCGACGAGAGAATTAACCCATAGACAGAGCCCACTGAGTTTCTCGCCGGATCTTCTCAGTGGGTCGCGTTTCCGATCCGGTGGTAGATTCTATGAAGCACTGCTCTTGCTAGGGTCAGTGTTAGCAAGATTCCGGTTTGAGCCCCGTGAGCTCACCTACTGTAGGCGCGCGAGTTCATGTCCATCCTGAGGATTGCGGTAGTGCTGTAACCTAGTTAATTATGGTAATGTCGATAATAACTACCGATTTAGTCAATAGCTATAATGTAACTTAAGGTAATTTTGCAATTTATGAAATAAAATAAATGTGATAAGTAATTACTTGTTTATTTCTAATAGAGGAAAATATTTTTTAAATTCCAATTCAATCACTATCAAATGAAAAGACAACTGACAGATCAGAGTCGGAATCAGTATGTATCTTTTTTAAGTAGGTTTTTTTCTATCTGAACTTGTTGGAAGCGGAGTAGTCATGGTTAAATAGCACAATAGCGTTAGCGTAAATTTTCGATATCGATAAGCTCGCGTCACAACCGTCAAAGACAACACTCGACGTCAGACAATTGCGGGGAGGCGGGCGAAGGTGGGGCGAGCTGTCCCCCGCGCGTCGCCTCTGGCCCCGATGGACATGAACTCGCGCGCATACAGTACACACGTTAGGGTGAAGCTGAAATAGCCTTTCAAGGCTATCAGCATAGGTAGGAGAAAAAAAGAATACCGGGCAGCGAGTGGGGACAGCGCTGCGTGCAGCCGGCGCCGTACGTGCGCTCGGGACAGGGCCGGTCGCAGCGCTCGCCCGTCCAGCCGGCCGCGCACACGCAGCGCCCAGAGTCCGCCGCGCACGACGAGTTGTTCGCGCAGCGGCACGCCTCCGAGCACGCGGCGCCGAACGTGCCCGCCGAGCACTGCGTCTCGCAACGGACTCCTGTTGCACGAACGACCCTCGAACTCAACAATCGATACTAAACGATGCGTGTGCAGCGACTTTACTACTAAACGTGTTACATTCAAGTCCTAATTCATCAGTGTACCCAAAAATCAAAAGCAGACAGGGAAAATTTCTTAAAACAAAATCGCAATAACTAATATTAAATTGCGTAGGAACATGCACTATAGTAGAATTATTTTGTCCGTGCAGTTGGGTCATAAAAAATCGGAGCGGTGAAGCGAGTATTTCGCTCTCTCTTCCACTCACGAGCCTTATGGACGGGCATAGTGATGCGCATTATTGTTGTCGATAAGCGTTATCGATAGTGTATTTAGTTTTGTCATTTTGTGGGTTAGTGATAAAAATAAAAGAAAAAATCACTAATCGAACACTTACATCACATATCGCCGCAACAAGTTAACGAGAACGGCAGAAATTAACACTTTGTAACTTTTCGGGATTTATTCTTATTTCAGTAAAAAATTTTAACACATTGTTGATAACAACACGTGCAAATATTATTTTGAATAAATTCTGCCGTTTTGATACAAAACAAAGGAGTAGCCATAGAAATTCAGAGAACGAATACATAAAAACACATTTCTCTTCGAAATAATGTACTATAACTTGCAGGTAACTACAAATTACTCATAACATAACAATGTCTCACCACCCTTCGTATACCACCCCGCCGCCATGACTCATTTGTTTTTATTGATAATGGCGTTGCGCCCGCGCAACATGCTCACCGCCCTAGCCGGGCTATGTTTTATGACCTGCAGTTTATGAAACTGCAGCGGCAAAATAATTCTACTATAGGTATTATTACTCATTCAATCTTAAGAGACTGTGCTGTGTCTATCCCGCGGCGCCGAACGTGCCCGCCGAGCACTGCGTCTCGCAACGCACTCCTGTTACACGAACGACGCCCGAACTCAACAATCGATACTAAGCGATGCGTGTGCAGCAAAATTACTTTAAAACTGAACGTGTTACATTCAAGTCCTAATTCGCCTTCGTCGTCACTGTACCCAAAAATCAACAGCGTCCAGGAAGAATTTCTTAAAACAAAATCGCAATAACTAAAATTATATAGCATAAGAACATGCACTAGGCCTTATTACTGATTCAATCTTTAGATACTGTGCTGTGTCGACGCCCAAACTCAACAATCGATACTCAACGATGCGTGTGCAGCGACTTTACTACTAAACGTGTTACATTCAAGTCCTAATTCGTCACTGTACCCAAAAATCAAAAGCGTACATGGAGAATTTCTTAAAACAAAATCGCAACAACTAAAATTAAATTGCGTAGGTACATGCACTAGGCCTTATTACTCATACAATCTTCAGAGACTGTGCTGTGTCTATCTGCGAAGAGATCCAAAATATATGTTCAAGGTGCTCATTGTGCCAGATTAGGGCTCCAGTAGTTGGCTGCATCCTCAAAGTATTCCCTGCTGACTTTTACTGTTACACCATCCCATGCTATCAATAATATTTTTCTAACGATAAGTATTCAATTTCCTTTCACAATTTTTTTTATGAAAAATAACCAAAAGCTATTTTAACAAAATTTGCTATATAGTCTTAGACAGTTTGCTGGTTATGATCCCGGGCACATGCCGAACATGGATCGTATTGTTTGCGAATATAGACGGTATATGTACCTCTCCAGGTGTCTTCGCAGATGCAGTCCCCGGTGACGTGGTGGCAGCGCACCGCGTGGCGGGAACAGTTGCAGGGTTGCGAGCAGCCCTGGCCGAAGTGGTCGGGCTCGCAGTGCCGCTCGCAGCGCGCGCCCGTGTACCCCGGCCCGCACACGCACTCCCCTGGACACGCAACACTCAACATTATATCGACGTTCCAAATTTAAAATCAAAATTAAAAAAAAACAATTGGGTCAAAACGATGTTTACATATCGACGCTTGAAAGGCAAACGTGACTAAGCGACAATAACTGCTTTGTACATAAATGATAAATAAATGCATAAATGATGCAATAACCATATTCAATGCGCAAAAAAATATATTACTAGGTCTATTAAAATCATTTCAATCCTACAGCTAGATTCGTTAAAATAGATTTTTGGAACGAAGTTCCTTACGGCAGGCTTGGAGGGGATAGGGATTTTGCTGCGCGACCGAACTGAAAAAAATGTGATAGTAAAACCGTAAGAAAAAATCCGTGGAAAAAAGTGCGTGGAATAATCTAGTAATCAATGACTAACGGGCCCATATATCATAACTTGAATGCGACTGTTCGTTTTGAAACATAACGCAGAAATACGATCATAAAAATTTGACAACTTCGGTGAGGCAATAGTAAGCGCCTCTGACTGTTGCCTGGTAGGTAGTGGGTTCGATTCCCACATGGGGTAAACGTTGTGGGATGAACAAATTTCTTTGCTGTGTCGGGGTGCTTATTGTCTCAATATTTATGTAACTATTTAAACATATATAAGCATGTTTATTAGTGTCCGGTACCCATAACAGAGGAAGTCCTAAATTGGAGCAGAATAACCGTGCGTGATTTGTTCCTAGTTATTTATTATTTTAGAATTAGGATAAAGACTTGATACCGCTCCTAAATATAATTCCGCTCCGCAATACAAAGTAGAACATATTTTTTTATAATAAAAAAGCACAGTACGCGCCAATACCAAGAAGAACTAGTACATACTGTTTGTTGTTACAAAGTTCAACTCAATTACAAAAACAATCTCAAGTTTCATACACACAGGATGTGTCATGTAAACAGACCCGCGTACGAAATCTATCGGTTATTAGTTCGCGGAGTTGCGGTAATGTTATTGTCAATGTCAGTACACGCACCGGTCACTGGGTTACACGGCGCGTCGTTCTCACAGTCACACGGCTGTCTGCAGTACAGTCCAAATGTTTTACCGTTACACGGTCGGTCGCATTTCAAGCCATCGAATCTGAAAAAATAAATATATATATGTGGGAAACGGAACGTTTTCGAGTGAAAGGGATGAATGTGTGAGGAAGAAAGGGACGGAAGGGAAATGGTCAAGATGGCGATCGGGCATAATAAGAGTGTGAACTACTGTAAACGATTACGACGTGTTATCTAATAAATTTTGTTACTTTTCCAAAAAAACTGCTATTTACTTTGAGCAAATCCCACATACCCATCCCACAGACATACATATCCCACATATCCCACATACATACCATTTGGAGCATATCTATATCCTATTTTGAAGCTTCGACAATTTATCTGAAAGTTATGTACTTCATGTTACGTCTTATTCCGCAATTGAGAAATAGCATCGTGTCGTATAATTTAACAAACCAAACTTAAGAGTGTGAGAGAGATAGAATATACTTTATAAAACAACAACAAAAAATTACAAAAGATAAAAAATAAAATACTTTGGATTATAATTGGAGGTGGAACTGTTGTTCCAATATAATTTATCTCTGAATTCACTTCTCAATTCACGTTTTGATGCCTATGAACTTAAAACCATTTAACGCTGGAACGCGGAACGAGTTCACATACCTAACTAATGCAATAAAGAATGTTTTTCTTCACTACTCTATTACATTTTTGAAGGCATAGGGAATACGAAGTGACGTTCAAATAAGACTTGACCTAAAGGTCTTAGTTACCAGGTCATAAAACGCCAAAAAAAAATTAAGTGACGTCATGAACATCATTACTAACTTCGAAAACATAGAAGACAGTAACAACTACAACGTACAAGACAACAACAACAACTGGTGGTAGGACCTCTAGTGAGTCCGCATGGGTAGTTACCACCACTCTGCCTATTTCTGCCGTGAAGCAGTAATGCGTTTCGGTTTGAAGGGTGGGACAGCCGTTGTAACTATACTTGAGACCTTAGAACTTATATCTCAAGGTGGGTGGCGCATTTGCGTCGTAGATGTCTATGGGTTCCAGTAACCACTTAACACCAGGTGGGCTGTGAGCTCGTCCACCCGCCTAAGCAATAAAAATAAAGTTACTAAAGAATAAGTTTTTACCCTGGTTTGCAGCTGCACTGTCCCGTCTCGTGCGAGCAGGTGGCGTTGTTGTGACAGTCGCAGGTGTCAGCGCAGTTATCTCCGTAGAGCGGGTAGGGACACTTCTCCTCGCAGTGGAGACCGCGGTACCCCGGGGCACACAGGCACGAACCTGTTATATCATAATATATCGATCATTCTCGTAGTCCGAAAATTCGGTCAAAATTTGTATGAGTTATTAACGGACAAACAATGCCACATCTCATAATCGATTAAGATATTCTTGAAGCTAGCACGGTTTTAGGTGCAATTAATATATATCGGACATTTATTATTTGTACTCCTAGGCAGTATTTCATTTTGGTATTTAATTTAAAAGAAAAGGACTATTGTTTGAAAATACTTGTGAAGTCCTAACGGGACACTGTCCATTCCCAAGGTAGATGAATAACTTAGGTCTTGAGACAGATTCTGTGAACAAGGACTACTTGGTGTATAATCTCTACAACCAGCAACTCAAGAATATGAATACAGGCTTTGCTGGATTTGGGTCTGATAAGAAACATTTAATGGGGTAGCCATTTGGTAATGTGAACGTTAAGTGCCACAAACACTATTAGGTTTTTTTTAATTGCTTCCTTAATTTAATTAATTTAAATGCACATATTTTATTAATTTGGTTCTTCTTTTTTTAATAAGACTTTTTTATTAGACTACATATTTCATTTTTTAATTAGGCTCTTGTATTTTTTTTAATTAGTCTTTTATATTCTTAGTGCTTTTCTATTTTTCCGTATCAAAATGGCGACTAAAGATCGAATGAGAAAGAATGTTAATGACCATTGATAGGCGAGCAGAGGCCGTTGTTTTCGCAACGGCATGTAGAGCGGCACCCCTTGCCGTAAGTGAGCAGTGGACACTGTCGCGAGCACGTGTCGCCCCCCCACCCCGCTGCGCACTCGCACGTGCCGGTCCACGGGTCGCACCTAAAGACGAACACACTTTTTATCGAAAACTTTTTAAATGTTGGAATACTAATTGCAAAGGCATAAGCTTCCGGATTAACTCTATGGATAGTTATCAAATAAAAATATATTTAAAACTTTAAGTTACTATAGACAAATTCGACTTAACGGCTCTAAAGTCGAATATACTTATTTAAATTCTGCAGCGAACCAATCAACATTTAAAAGAAAAGGGCTCACAAATCAGTTGTCTCAGGATTACAGTCGCAGTCTTTGTCGCAGTGCGGCCCCCACTTGGCGTCGTCGCAGGCCCGCAGCTGGCAGTGCGGGCCGCGCCACCCCGGCCGGCACGTGCACGAGCCGTTCTGCGCCGCGCACGCGCCGCCGTGCTCGCACGTGCACGTGTGCGCACAGTCCACGCCGTACGTACCAATAGGACATATATCCAAACACTGTGGAACAAGAAAATGGATTCATCATATCAAAAGGTCAAAGGCTATTTGATTTAAGCAACATTTCGCTGAATACTGTCTATTTCTCCCGTGAAGCAGTAATGCGTTTCGGCTTGATGGGGGGGGGGGGGGGCAGCCGTTGTAACTTTAGTTGCCTACTTGAGACCTTAAAACTGATATCTCAAGGTGGGTGGCGCATTACGTCGTAGATGGCTGTGGACTCCAGTAACCAGTTAACGCCAGGTGGGCTGTGAGCTCGTCTACCCATCTAAGCAATAAAAAAAATAAAAAAAATACACGACCTTCATCTTTGTAATGAAATGTCTGTTTTATTTGGTATTAGCACCAACAGTTCGATTTTTTACTTGGAACTTCAATTTAATTTACCCCTTTGAAATAGCTGAAGATTTTTTTGTTATTATATTTTTTCCAAATTTTAAACTTTAAATGGCTCCCCTGTAAAGTTTTAAAAATGTCGCTTTAACCAAACAGCATTTCCCCCTCGATTGTTCGAAACAAAATGAACCTAATACAAGTGTATATAGCGTACCTTCTCCCCCGTAAAGCCTGCTTCACATTGGCATTTTCCTGTAACGTGATGACAACTAGCGCCATTAGCACACTCGCAGGGTCTCTCACATTTTTCTCCCCATCGACCTGCAGGACATCTGTTGAAAGAAACAGACCTTACTACGACCTAATAGTCAAGATAAGGAGACGTCACATGCTTCGGAAGATCCCTTGAAATGCTCCATACATACAAAAACAAGCAGTACAAAGTACTATTGTCACAGTAAATCCAAAGCTTCCAAGCCTTTTATAAGCAGACTAGCGGCCAGCTCCGGCTCCGCTCGGGCATTCAACAAAAATTTCACCGATGCTTGATGTTGTTTTATTTTTTTAAATAAAAGAACACTTATTGCGACCTAACTATAATAGTTAGACATATGCTGTCGCGACCCTTTTTGTAAATAATAATGTGTTCTACAAAGTCGTAGTACATTATTTTATTCTATCATCAATAGTTTTCGCAGGGCACGCGATGTAAAGAATATTTTAGGTAAAAAATTTTTACCTTGTGTTACATTATTTGAGTTTTAGTAAGGATCCCTAATTTTTCAAAAAAAAATATAGCCTATGTCACTCGGGAAGAGTGTAGCTTTCAAACAGTGTAAGAATTTTTCAAATCGATGCAGTAGTTTCGGAGCCTATTCAAGACAAACAAACCAACAAATCTTTCCTCTTTATAATATTAGTATAGACTATTGATAATCCGAACGACGCACTTGTATATCGAAACAAAAAAAGCGATGAAATCTGATGAACTGTGAGTTACCTGTTGGCACAAACATCTCCAGTCCAGCCGGCAGTACACTCGCAGTCGTTTGTGAATTTCTTGCATTGTCCATCATTTTGGCACCGGCAGTTTTGGGGACAAGCTTCACCCGGTACGGGACATTCTTGCTCACATCTAAAATAATATAAATAATATGAATACCATATTTAATATAAAAAGTGAAAAAACTTTTTTAAACCAATAAAATATTAGCTCCGACACTAATGAATATTCCAAACATTCCTCCTGATGATTCCTTACTTTTACTTGCGTATAAATGAGCACATAAGTTCACTGCCCATCTCGTATTTAAAGCTCATTTGAGAGTCAATAGAACAAATACCGGGGGTATTTTTGAGATACAAGGTCGCCATTTTCGATTACAAATGATGAGTTACCGGAACTTGTACGTTCTCTTGATAACATTCGATACATAATGAGTACTATTGTACATGATGAGTAAGGTTTGTCACTATATTTGTAAACATTTCAAAATAATTTCGACCTTTGTCATCACTTCCATTAAATTAGTGCAACGTAAGTGGAAAATGATACAACAAAGATATTTTGTCTTAATGTTTTGGATGTTGTGTACATTAATTATGTACTTTAAAATGCCATTTTGTGAAAGGAGCATGGAGTTCCTTGTAAAATGTCGTAGACATTAGTATTCTAAGTGTGAGTATAAGAAACTTAGGAATTTCGACTATGTTTTGCATGTTCCCAATGGCGTAGACGTCCTAATTTTTTTCTTATTTTTCATGATTACTAATAAAGTTCTAATTCTAAAATTACAAATAAACGATTTCCTGTTTTATGCTGGTAACGCCTTAATGATAGGTAAGCCGTCAGTTCGAGCGTCACTTTTAGTTAAGAAATATAAAAAAGCCTATGCACGAAAATCTACATATATATATAAATGAATTGCTGTTCGTTAGTCTCGCTAAAACTCGAGAACGACTGGAGCGATTTGGCTAATTTTGGTCTTAAATTACTTGTGGAAGTCCAGAGCAGGTTTAAAAGGTAGATAAATATGAAAATGCTCGGAATTAAATAAAAATAACAATTTTGTTTTTCCTTTGATGTGTCCCCCGTCGGACGGATTCCTTTGGTTTGTTTTAAGTTTATTTTATACAAAAGTTTCGGTCTTTTATTTATGAATTGACGCACTACGAAGTCTGCCGGGTCAGCTAGTAACATAGAAAAGCGAACTTAAATAAAGTATATTACGAGTTTACAATTAAATAACTCCACAATATTATTATAATGCATCATTTCGAGATTACTAAGAAGCGGACAATGCATTATTAGCCTACTGTATATGAATCAACAATGATAAATACAAACTGTTTATTTTGTAGAATAAATGTCGTTAGAAACATCAATACTAAAGTGTAGCAAGTCTTAAAATTTTGCATTGCTACTGACGAAGACAAAGGAATGAAGGGCCCATGTTGCGCCCCTGACTGGCACTAGTGTCACGGTAAACCCAAACCTATGTCTATTTTGCAAGCGAGTGCTGCTTCTCGGCTAAATTGAGACTTTTTTATTGTAGGCAGACGAGCATACAGCCCATCTGATGGAGAATAGTGACCATCGCCGATGGACGTCAGTTATCTACCGTTAAGTACTCTCCACAAGCCTCGTATGAAGAAGGACATATCATAGCGCTCGGCAAACACCGTGGAGGGGAGCTCATTCCAAAGCCGAATGGCAAAAATATCTCTGGAACCGCACTGTGAATGAACGTAATGGCTCCAGGTAGTACGGATGAACACTACTCCAATGATGGGCGGTGCGATGGTAAAAACAAAATATTGGGATCATCTCATACAATTCTTGAGAACACTCCCTCAAGAGAGAGAAACTTCAAAAATGCTTCTTATATAAAGATTTTTAAACTCACAAAGGCCCAGTGAAGCCTGGTCTGCAGTTACAAGCTCCCGAAGATGGATCGCAGGTCGCGTTGTTTTTGCATTGGCATATCTCGTCACATTTGTGTCCGTACGTAGAAGGTGAGCAGGCGCGCTCGCAGGCGTCGCCTCTCCACCCGGGCGTGCAGGCGCAGTCCCCGGTCAAAGGTTCACACGTACCACCGTTAAGACAACGGCAATCGTTCTGACAATTCCGACCCCATTTACCATTGGGACAAGCTAAAAAATAAAATCTCTATGAAGTTTTTACTGGTGGTAGGACCTCTTATGAGTCCGCGCGGGTAGGTACCACCGCTCTGCCTATTTCTGCCATGAAGCAGTAATGCGTTTCGGTCTGAAGGGTAGGGCAGCCGTTGTAACTATACTGAGATCTTAGAACTTATATCTCAAGTCAAAGAGCCAAAGAGGTGGCGCATTTACGTTGTAGATGTCTATGGGATCAAGTAACCACTTAACACCAGGTAGGGTGTGAGCTCGTCCACCCATCTAAGCAATAAAAATAAATAAATAATAAAAGTAACCGAACAAAACCTAGAATCGCTTTATTTATCAAAGAATAGGCTCGTTAAGCTAATGGGACGTAAAATCATCGAGCGACTTAATTAGTTTAGCAAACATAGTGTGGTCTGATGTAATTGTGAATTAACAGTTCGAGTTACTATTCATTAAACAGTTTCAAACCATTTCAATTGTACTAACATATATCGCACGACGGGCCCCCATATCCATGAGCACACGTACACGTGTTCGGCGCGACACATTTACCGTGCACGCACGACTCCACGCACACAGGCACGCACTGTTCGTCGTCAGCGTCCGGCGCATAGCCCTCGCAACACTCTTCGACTAGTCTATATTTCGTGAGTGTCTCAGTTCTGAACACTTGCCGGAATTTAATACTGTATTTAGTACACCTGGGCAGCATACTGAAACACCATGCTTTTTCCTTCACCTGATAAGGTTGTTGTTTGGATACTCGTATTATCGTCGTATACCTGAAATCAGATACTCATCAGTGAATGTTACCACTTTTTTGTATATTTTTAGCTTGATCTAACAGTGAGGTGATTTTAAAATGTATTTTAAATAAAATTATAACTTTTCATTTTACATTTAATGTTTTTTGGGTATATCAGCTGACAAGTTTACGGGCCATCTAATAAAGTGCATTTTGCTGCCACCTTGAAATATGAGGTTGATTAAATAAAGGTTAGCCTACCCTACAAATACGAATGAATAATTGCTGTGGCAGGAGTAAGAAATTCGGAACCGTTTCCTAAAAATTGTTTAACATTTACTCTACATATAATGCCATTAAGCCCGTTTGTGTACTGAATTTATATCAAGGGTTAAGAAAAAAATTCAACAGACACAGAAAAGTGGAGATAAAAGTTAACTGACCCGATGAGTAATATTACGACTAACAATCGGTCACCCCAGTCAAGGTTCAGAAATAAATAAACAAAGCGTTTACTCGCACAATGATGATTGACAAAGAACAATATCTGTAATTCGCGGACAGTTTTGTTCACACATTTTTCTGAATGAAAGTCGTTGATAAGTAAATTAAACGGACATCCTGAACAGTTTGTGTAGTTTTAATATTATTAACAGATAGTCATTGGAGCAGAGGAGGGGTTTAAGTGGAGACAGCGAACGTAGTGCGAGTTACATTTACGCCATGATAATGTACGAAACATGGTCGGCAGGAAGTGAATGAAAAAAGTCAAAAACAAATGTCAATGTCGCTAAATAGGTAGGCTAATAAGGTCTTTGTGCAGCAGACGACAAGTCTGGACTGATATTGTTTATAAATGTCCTATTGGTTATAATATAGCATGCACCGTTTTCTAGAGTTAGTCAGCATACCACTTACGACTGTGTGGATTTCTCCTAGATCTGATTAGCTCAAATTAGTAATCAAGTCATAGGTTCACATACAGAATGATTCCTTTCATTTTCAGAATGCGAAACTATCTAATTTACATTTTAATAGACAAGTATATACATATATGTATATGATAATCGTGAGGGTTGTAGTATACAGAATACCTAGTCAGATATTTAGTGAAGGTTATATGTAGTATCACTCTAGTCTAGCAAGCTCTAAGACGCGGCCGTTATGAAAAAGAGTGTGAAAATAGGTAAAGCAATAACTATAACTAAGACTAATTGAACACAATCTTTGCGCGTGGCATCAATAATGCAAATTTATTAACGGAATGATGTCCTATATACACATCTCACACCAATAACATGATAATTTGGCCAGTCCTGACACGACTCGGGACGCATGCATATTGTGGATGTATAAATTAAAAAATATGGCTACATTAATATGGGTATTTCAACTATACGTAGCGTAAAATAAATTGAGAGCTTATTAAACTTCATAGACTGGGTCAAATGAATTAATAATAATAATATGAATGAATCTTAATTCGCATCACTATGTGGGTGGTATTGTTCTTCTTATATCTAAAAGAATTTAAATAAAAGTTGACTTACGGTTCTTGTCTAGTGCAGACATTAGGACCTTTCAGTTGCGCTGCCACGGTCCCTGTTATAATCAATACTGAAAATATCCTTAAATACATCTTAAATTGTGTTGTAGTCATTGAGTTCCATTAAAATATTTTCCTATTAAAATATTTTCGTAAATAAGATCATCTGCAACAAATTAAAATGGATGAGTACATCACTATAATACAAGTAGTTTAACTAAATAATATAGGTAGAAGCTTTCAAATACATTAGGTACTATCAGTGACTCTTCCTTTTTAAAAGGTTATTTATAGACAGTTACGAAACAATGTCAATGATAAAATTTAGATACGAGTTACATGTCAGTTTTGTCATTAAATGAGTTGTTTGGGATGAGATCAATTATCATATCTTGTGTATTGTTATAATTTGCGGAACGAAGGTCAGTCTTGCAAGTCAGTACGTGATATAAAATAATAACATTATGGCGAGGAGTAAAATGCCGTGGCTGCAATGCTTAAAAATACTCCATGTAGCTATCGCCGAATGCTACATGTAATTTAATGTAATTTTGTGAACACTGTTAATAATTTGTTTCTAGACAGGGAGCTGAATGTAGCCAACGAAACGGACCATAATATGTATTTATGACTGAAAAAACATTAAAGCATTTTTATTTTGGTGCGTATAGTGAATCAACTTACTGCCCACTTGGTATAATAGTAAGAAGACCATCTATGTCTATAACAACATCAATGCCGCCACCGACATTGACATTAGAGCCAATTCTCGGACAAACGGGAGCAGATGATTGCCTCGCGGCAGGAATAGACTGGAGGGTTGGACCTAACCGAGCGAGCATACGACATTATTACCGAAACGCATTACTGCTACACGGCAGAAGTAGGCAGAGTGGTGGTACCTACCAGTGTGCTCAAAAGAGGTCCTCCTCAAGAGGACCATCAGTAATTACGCCAATTATAATTTATTACACGATGTTATTCCTTCACCGGGGGTGTGTCAATCGAGATTATTTGTTAAGTACGTTATTTCATTAGAAAAATTGAAACGCGCCTGCGGGATTCGAGCACCGTTGCATCGCCCGACACGAATACACCGGAATTCTTATCCTTTAGGCCACGATGACTTGTGTACGCATATAGACAGGTATTTCTTGTAAATAAATGAAGACTTACACAAAACTTTCTTGTAATACGGTAATTCGAAAATGATATGATTCTAAATTTTTATAAAAAAATATATTAATTATTGTCAATAAGGTGTCTCATATTTCGCTGAGCGGTTGACGACGGTGTACTACATTCCCGTTCTTTCCACAAACATAATCGAACGCAACTCGCATGAGGAGAAAACTTTAAATAAAAACACAAATGCAGTATGTAATGTATTACAGCTTACTATACTTGTCTTTGAATATTGTCATAACATGGAACAGCTTTCGAGACCAAACAATTGAAACCGTTAAGTAGTTAAACAGGCCATACATTAGCATGTGTATGTGGGCATGAGTGAATAAACGCGGTATAAGTAATAAAATGGGATCGCTGTGTCAGTGAGAATTTTCAGATTTTATTGATTAATGGACGCGAAATACTTTTTAGATTATCTTGTTTTAGATTTTAGGGGCGACGCAAACATCTATCCGACACTGCGACTCTTGGGATCTTCTGTGTATTTTCATCGCCCCATCTCCAAATACCACCCGCATGAATCCTGCAAGGTTTGGAGATACGGACACACATAAATCTTGGTCTGAGTAACCGCTGCCCGAGATGTTCATTGTTGTCTTTGTGAGACTGTAACACTCAAAAAGTATGTGAATTCGTTGTTTCGACCTCCTCCAGACAAAAACAGTAGGTATGTTGCGTTGTCAGCTAAGTTCATCTTGCGTATGCACTCCTCAGTGCCAAAAAGTGTCTCTGAGGGTCCCAAGCAAACGTCTTAGCTTACTTAAACAACTTTTTGGTCTTGTCAGTTTTAATTTCTTCTGTGCTGTTATTTTAGAGTTTATTGTTGTTTTTGTAATAGTGCCTCAGTATGAATATCCTTATTGCTTAACCTTATAGTGTTCAGGTTATTTCTTTGTCCGATCCTGTATTTCCCAAATCATAAGCCTTCTCGTGGCATTAACATGTACAGAATGACACTGTTGTGTGAGAGTCGGTATGCACTTCAGCGTCAATGCGAGGCTGGCTATCGCTGAGAATGTAGATTATTTTATATAATGTTTTCATACATTTTCAGTTCATAGCATTGCTTAAAACCGCATGCATATTTTCCAAGCCTGCAGTAGTTGTAACAGTTTATATGTCAGCTCCCGTTTCTGAACTGGTTCTAGAACCATCAGTGTACCGGTTTAAACTGTTCTCCTTAGGTGAAGAAAATCCTTTCTGTCATACCATCTTAATTCCCTATTAGTCTTTATTTATCAACAGGTTAGCATGGTATTCAACGTTGTGAATGAAAAATTACGGTATTGTACACATACTAAATGCGAATATTGCGAAAAAAAAACCACTTTAGTTGTAAATAGCTAGTCAAATCCGCCCCGCTTTGCTGGCCGGTCTTTCATATGACTTTGATTTAATTGCCACCAACATTTTCTAAGATTCCGGCTAGGCCAATCTAAAGGTTTCACCGAAGAAAAATTTCATCGAAATCGGTCCAGGGGTTTCGTAGTCTACAGGGAGCATACACACATCGACTTTTATATAACTTATATAGATAGAAACATTTTAAAAATCCGATCTCAGACAGATAGGATTTTTTCTTTCTATTCTTCTCAGTCGTTTGCACTCTTGGCAGAGTAGTCGTGGTCATCATTTATATCTTTTGTATTATATTTACTTCAGTTAAATCATTAATACAATGCTGATTTTCTAGTACTTATATTTTTATTTTACGTTCAAAGTAAAATGCGTTCTCTTGACCCGAGTGCCTGCTAGTAGGTACTCGTAGTTGTTGGCAAATTCATCGTTCCGTCATATCCTTCGATAGTGGGTGGGACTGTGGATAAAGTAGGTCGCATTGAAGCACCTATATAGTCGTCGAGCTATTGCCAATTTCATTTAAACGGACCACTGAATGTGTAAACTTTTACAACGTATGTAAAATACTGTTTGTATTTTGTGTAATTTGTAGTCGCTAGGAGTAAAATTATTTTAATTTCTAATTTAATCTTCGATAAATATATACATTTAAGCAGATAAATTTTATTCACATTTAATCGTTTATCAAAAAAGTAAATACGCATTGCAATTTTTAACACAACTATTTTATATATACTATATATAACTATACTAGATATTTATCGAAACATTAACCTGAAATTCGGAGATGTTTTGCGACGCGTGTAGGCTTTGTAAATATGTGAATATGTCCGCCTACGTACTAAGCTGTATGACTAATTTACTGACGTCACGAAGAATGCGATTATTTTATTTATGTCGCTATTCAATGAAGAATGTCCAGTTACATGTATAATATAAGGGAATAATGTTTACGCATGTTATCTGGTACACTACTGTTTGGTTAAATCAAAATCTATCTTGAGTAAGATAGATAATACAATTATACAGATAAGCTACAAAATTTAAAATTTATTAAACGCTTTATCTTAAACCACACAGTTCGGTTCATAGTGTGATATTATACTGAATATTGCTGTCAATAATATTCTTTTTCTGACCGCATCGAACTGATTTATTTATAACTAGCGACCCGCCCTCGCTTCGCTTCGGAAACATTAAAACACACATGAAACAAAAAAATAAAATAAAAAAAAAGTAGCCTATGTTCATCAGGGACAATGTCGGCTTCTAATGGAAAAAGAATTTTTCAAATCGGTCCAGTAGTTTCGGAGCCTATTCGAAACAAACAAACAAATCTTTCCTCTTTATAATATTAGTATAGATATAGATATGTACCATATTATTGAGATATATATAAAATTTTATATTCAGTCTGTAAAACATCTGTAGACTAAAGAAAAAACTTCTTGATGGATGTATCAACAAGATTTTTCTTTACTATTCCTATTTTTATTATATATACTAAATACACTAAAACTCTAAAATACGCTAAAATATATTAAAACTCTCTGATGTGACGATAAATGTATTAAATACATTAGTCTTTTTTTAAATACTTCCGCGTTACTTTGCATCCTTGATGATATTAATACACTTGATGATAGTAACAAAAATCGTGTCAAGTTTTCAGCTCAATCGAATAAATATAATGGTGCGCAAATGTGCTCCTTTTTAATATACTAGTCTTTGCCTTCTAAGTGAAATTGTATAATAAGCACAAACACCTCAAGATTCAAATTATTTTTTTGTTCTATTTTTCTCTATGGCATAACATTGTCAATGTGAATAAAATAAATTTAGACGTAACTGAAGTTCGTCGATACCTACAAAACAAAAAAAGGAATAATATTTTTGACAGAGAGGAGAAAATGGTATCTACTTACCTACCTGTTCTATCTTTACCTATTTAGGAATGGATTAGACTATAGTATTTACACCCCCGATTACCTTCTTCGCCAACCCATACCCTGGGCCAGGAAGGTCAAGTACCTGGGTGTCACCCTGGATGCATCCATGACATTCCACCCCCATATAAAATCCGTCCGCGACCGCACCGCGTTTTTTCTTGGCAGACTCTACCCCATGATCTGTAAGCGGAGTAAAATATCCCCCCGTAACAAGATGACACTTTACAAAACTTGCATAAGGCTCGTTATGACTTACGCGAGTGTGGTGTTCGCTCACGCGGCTCGCACACATTTAGACACCCTCCAACCCCTACAATCCCGATTTTGCAGGCTAGCCGCCGGAGCTCCGTGCTTCACGAGGAACGTTGAACTACACGACGACCTGGGCCTCGAATCAATCCGGAAACACGTGAAGTCAGCGTCAGAACGGTACTTCGATAAGGTTACGCGTCATGATAATCGCCTTATCGTTGCCACCGCTAACTGCTCCCCGAATCCTGATCCCGCAGGAGCCAGTCACCGACGACGCCCTAGACACGTCCTCACTGATCCATCAGATCCAATAACACTTGCATTAGACGCCTTCAGCTCTAACACTAGGAGCAGGTTGAGGGACCCCGGTAACCGTACTTGTCGAACTCGGCAAAGAGTTCGACGTGCACCTAACCCATGAATCAGCCCGCTAAGTTTCTCGCCAAATTCTCAGCGGGTCGCGATTTCGATCCGGTAGTACATTCAAGTGCCTAGTGTCTTCAAACTTAAAAATAAAATAAACGACTCGCGTGTTTCCCGTAAATTTTTGTCGAATTTTAGTGAGCGCAACAATTAACACATACGGTGGAACAAACAATTTACCTTTACATTTAACTATATGCCCGTTCCTTTACCGTTGTATTCTCATGCTCTATATATTTATAGCGGACGTTTGAAACGTCGTTTTTCAGCGATGTAACGTGGTATGTGGACGAGAAACCCACTAATTGACCATAGTGTCGCTTTTTAATCCAAGCATCCGATCTTCACTGAAACAGGTCGTAAACGGCAAGCGGAGTAATAAATTTCCCCAGCTCACCCTTCGCAATGTCCCGTCCCCCCATCGACTGTCATCGGTGTCATAACGTGATACGTTAACGTAATCATAGGTCCTCTCAATTGGTGGATTATATGAAGACCACCTTGAAGGAGCCTCATTAATCCCAGGGTACCATACCAAGAACCAAGGTCCTTAATCTCATCATTCTGTAACTCCATTCAACATCTCAAGTTCCTCTACCTCCTACAATAAGACAATGGTTTCACATAGAAATTAGTAATTTTCAACTTTCAAATCCCAAAAATTTGCAACAACAGGTGGGATTCTACTTGGGTGATGGGAGGCATTGTACTGCTTGTCCAATGCAGAACAAACAACAAGTATGTATCCATGTCCTTGCAACCGTGCCAGGGCTCCATCAGTCAATAGACTATTTTCATGTAAATATGCATGTAATGCTATTTTTCAAAGTTACAAATCTAAGTACAGTTTAAGATAGTATAAAGTATTAACTACTTTTACATACTGCAAATTTTTTCTGAAATTAAAAGTATTTTAAATTTTTCAACTTCAAATAATGTGGTGCACAGATGTTGAGTATGAAATTTGGCACATTAGTCATAAAAACTTAAAATACTTTTCTTAAGCAACACGTGGGAGATAACGAGTGCCCGTTTTGACAGTTTCATTATTATTCCTAGTATTAGTAATTTTTTACATCACATGATCAGTGATTGTTATGAATCTTGGAAATTCTGCAAGTTAAACACTGCCTTACACATAACTAGAGAACATGGAAGACATACTGTCAAATTAGCAGGTCATTAACTCCAGAAATACATTGAGGGTTTAAATTCATAAGCAATCTGGATTTATTTCTATCACTGTTGCAATACTGGTGCTTTTCTCTCTAACTGATTTATTAATACGTTGAGGCCATGGAAAGCATTGTTGGTATGGAGTTCAATACAAATACGATCTTCATATTATGAGAAAATATGTTACGTACTGTGTTATCAAAGATTTTTAATAAATAAATATAAATAAATACTAATAGTTATTACTAACACATTACATTACCAACTTCAGAATAAAATAAAAATGTATTGTCAGGACTAAACTTGACAACAGCTATCAAATAATAGGTAATGAAATAATACTTGACCAACCAATGAACACCACAAAATAAAGAAAAAATATACTTTTAAAATATTAGACTACCTTGAAAGTAGGTCAAAAGATAGATATGTGAACTACATTTATATTTTTATATACACTATAAATCTGGGTTCTTTAGATTTTAATTTAATACAAAATATCAAAGCCATGTCTAATTCTTGCTCTCAATTTAGTGGAAAGAATATTTAATTTATTATAGAATATTTAATTTATGAAATACCTGATTAATCAATGAAAACGTATAGTTTAGTTACTTTTTGACAACGCATAAGTGGAACGCTGCTCCACAAAATTTGGCCAAACCCAAAACTTGAAAAGTTCAAAACAATAAACTTTAATAAAATACTTGCGCCAAGTTGTCCAACACTTCGACGAAAATAACACAAACAATAAAATATTTTTAAATATCAAGTTCAAGCACTCGTCGCCGTATGATTTATGTAATTCTCACGTTTAATTGTTGAGCTAATTCATTGTTTAATCTGTATGCATTCTTAATAAGCTTAGCTCTGCACAAAACCACAATTTTTATCAAATATTTCACATCTCACGGTAATAATTAATGATGGTGACGACCTCAAGTGTATAATCTATGGTGCCGTCGGTGCCGAGCACAGATTAGTAACTTGTAACTGTTGATGGCATCAAGTAGGTTTACTGAATTTGACCCCCTTTTTTTGATTTTCAGATTTTTTTAATTTTTAATTATTTGTTCGTCGTTTGTTCATTAATATTCGAATGTAAAAATTGTTCGTCTCTTATTTATTTATAATTAATTAAACAAATGATCACACAAGTTGGCTCTCTTTACTAGATATTTTTATTTTTAGCGCTCAGATTAATTAATTTTGATCAATTATCGTTTGTTCGACGACTATTGGGGATTGTTCGATCATAAAAACAATTGTATTTTATATCTAATAAGCAAACCATCACCTCACGCCTACATTGCGCATGCGCCGGTTTTGTCAGTTAATAAAATATTTCATAATTGGGAATTTAATTGTTTTTATGATTGAACAATCACTAATAGTTGTCGAACAAACGATAATTGATCAAAATTAATTAATCTGAGCGATAAAAATAAAGATATCTAAGATATATAAGTAAAGGAGGGCAACTTAAGGGTTGAGGGAGTTCATATAGAGTCCCTTCTTTATTTCGCCGTAAAGTCGTGTTTTATGTAATAAGTACCACAGTTGAAACAATATAAATTTTATTGTTGTAGCGGCATAAACAATTCTAAGTAATTATATTACATTAGTTATTAAAGACGTTATAAATTATTTTTACGTTTTAAATATTTGGCGGTATTTTTTACCGTCCCGTGTCCCGTGGTCCCATGTCACAGACTATATTCCTTTCTCCACCTCTCGTGCGTTCCGGCCCACGCATCATAAAAATGTGCGTTCATAAACGCTACAGGGTGATCATTTGTTTAATTAATTATAAATAAATAAAAGACGAAAAAACAATTTTTACATTCAAACATTAACGAAAAAACGACGAACAAATAATTAAAAATTAAAAATAAAAAAAATCCGAAAATAAAAAAAAGCGGGCCAAATTCAGTGAGCCAGATCCACCTCTGTCATCATTCTTGTCATAGCTCATAGATTAAACTCATAATATATTTGTCATAGATTATAGTTGATTATACACATAATGTCATTTAATAACATAATTCTGTCGTTAATGTGAAACAAAAAAGTTTAATTCTATGTACACAGTTATGACATAATTTTAGAAGAAAATACGGGGTGAAATTATGTACTTCTATAAAATAATGTTGTTGTAAATGAAATTGTTTTAGGAAATAATGGATACTTCTTCAATAGTAAGTTTTAATAACGACTCTACATTCCAAGCCACTCTTAAAGGCGACTACAATCACCACAGTGTTCACGAGTTGGCTCTTCATGCCATGAGGGATCGTTGTCTATTACTACAACGCAGAATAAATGTTTTGGAGAATGACAACATGCGCTTAAAACTCGATGCTACAAGAAATAATGAAAATATTGCTTTTCGTGATGATGACAAACTTGACCTACTCCAGAAAATAGCTGAGCTTAATAAACAGAAGTCGCAATTGATGCATCACGTTTTTATGGTGTCATGTGAGAATAGAAACCTATGGAATAAAATATCAACTATCAAGAATTGTAATAAACCTAATAAAGAAAATGTCAAAAACCCATTAGTTCGTACCAATACTTACATCCAAAGCACACCTAAAACAAGTGTAAATTATCAAGAAAAGTATTCTGAATCAAGTTTGGAAGAAATATCTCTGAAATTAATAAATAGCTATATTCAGGAAAAGTCTAATTTAGTTGATCAATATGAACAAATGGCTCAACTTCATAGGGATGAAGATATGTTAAATGTAGATTCTATTGGTTTTACATACTTAGAAGATCCTGCAATGGAATCTTTAAAGGATATTATTTCTCAGACAGAAAAAGTGCAATCTCTGAGAAAAGAGGTAGCTCAGCAAGAAAATGATCTTAAACTAATATTAGCAAGATTTGAGACTATTGTGGCAGGTAAGACAGAAAGGTAGAAAGATATAAAATTTATAGATTCCAGAAACTATTTCTATTGATTCTGTTTGTCTTTTTTGCAGAAGGATATAAGTGTCCAACTTGTATTACAAATAATACCAAAGTTGTGTCTTCAGAAAATAAACAAATTGAAACAAGTGATAGTCTTATGAATTGGGAAACACCAGCTGATTCCAGTTCTTGCAATAATAACTTCAGTGATATCAACACCTCTGTTATAAAAGAAAGTATTATTGAAGAAAAAGAAGAAGATAACGAGCCTTTTGATAAAATATGCCCTATGTGTGGACAAACATTCCAAAAAGATACTGATTTTTCAGAGTTCAGAGTACATGTAGAAAGTCATTTTACAGGTGAAACAGAACCAGATTCCTTAATAGATAATTTTGAAAATATTCCTAGTTCTTTTGAAAATGCATTATAGTCAGTAATTTTACAAAAAAAAATTAGTACTTGTAATTAAAAAATATTTTTTGGTTAATTTTGTAAGGCTATTGTTTACTAAATACAATTAATTAGTTTAATATTAAAATTAGTGATGAATAGGAACAGTTATTTTTTTTTAAATAACAAATTTACAAAGATTGACTGGTGCAATGTGATTTGGGGCAAACCAATTGATTTCTCGCTGTATCTTAGTTGGTCATGATTCTAATCTGATGGTAGATTCTGCTGCTCTTAATAGGGATAGTGTTTGCAAATTCTATCAGGTTGAGCCCATGAGCTCACCTACCCGTCTGCGAAATAGCCCCTTGGACTACATTAGTAATGATGGGATAAACAAAGTGTTAACAAAGGTTTTGTCAAAGATGTTATAGAGTAATCATAAGACAGCGTGAAGTGGAGATATCTTATGAGGGGCCCTATGTTCCCATGTTGTACCCTAGGACTACAACAACAGAAACTAGGTACTATACAACTATTAGTCACATGAAAATATCCATGGGAACGATGTTTAGTTTGATTTACAATTCAATGTTTTAATTGAACTTAAATTAAGTTTACCCCATAATAACTGAAGAAGTTTATATAATTTTATACAATTTTTTTCCAAATAATAAACTTTAAAAAGCTCTCCTGTAAATTTGCAAAAATGCAGTTTAAACCAAATAAATAGCCTTTCACCTTGATATTTTGCTCATTGAATGACATGTTCTTCTTCATCTATTTCATTGAGTGCTTGCAAAAGGCAGATGATCAGTAGCTGTCATGTATCTTATATTAATAAATATTGGTGTAAATAGCTAGGACTGTGACCTGACTACTACACAAATGCACTTTCGAAAAAAACTATTTTGTGAAGCAATATATTTAAGTAGTGCCAGCAGAGCAACAATGATAGAAGCCATATAGGTATTTGTTGGTATAAGTTGATGGTAAAAATCGGAAAATAGTCTACAATATGCTGTATGGATACAATCATAATATTGAATTGTAGTTTCAAATTAGTTTAATTCACTGTTTTTAAACAATACAACATACTTTGTTATCTATTATACATCAGTAAAATTCATGACTGTTTTAAGCCAAATCTGTGGGTTTGACATCAGTAGATTTTGAGGGTTGTTGGGTAGATTTTTGTAATAGGTTTTTACTGAACCATTGTGGCCTTTCTTTTTTCATTTCAACAATTCTTTTACCATTCCAAAATTCCTTTTGCTGGAACATTCAAAATAAAACAACTCAATTTTAGACCTATAAGAATTATAGAATGGTTTGGTAACTCTGTTCATTAATTATTTAGTGACAATTCTTTTAACCCTTTGACTGCATGCAGGTCACACCGATGCCCTGCATGGCGCACTGAAATAATGGTGTCTATTTCTGTTACTTATCTTTTCCCTATAACAAAGATCGTACATTTGGGCCAGAGTGCTGGTGAGTCGTTTAGGGGGTCACCATTACCATCTTGACAGTCCAACATAGAACCTACGCCCCTCAAATAGGGAATTAGAAGGTGGATTGTTTATTGCTTTCACACACAAGCAACAGTGTACAAATTAAAGATTTTATGACTTTTTTTATTGCTTAGGTGGGTGGACGAGCTCAGAGCCCACCTGGTGTTAAGTGGTTACTGGAGCCCATAGACATCCACAACGTAAATGCGCCACCCACCTTGAGATATAAGTTCTAAGGTCTCAAGTATAGTTACAACGGCTGCCCCACCCTTCAAACTGAAACGCATTACTGCTTCACGGCAGAAATAGGCAGGGTGGTGGTACCCACCCGCGCGGACTCAAAAGAGGTCCTACCTCCAGTGATTACGCAAATAATAATTTAAAAATTAAAAATTATTATTCATTTTGAATCACACAATGTAATCTACGTTTGAGAGGTTGAACAATATTTCTACTTTTATTAATGCTTCTAATACTCTCATGATAAACACCACAAACCTGGTCTGGTAAAGTTTCTCCTTCATATAAAACAATAACATCTTGTTCAATGGGTCCATTGCCTAATTTTTTTAATATTTCACCTTGAATCTCTTTCGTCTCTTTACCTATATTTTTGTAGCAGTTACCTTGAAGAAAGGAAACCGATTTTATAACACAATTCAAAAAGATATGTGAAAGGTCAATTATTAACTTTTAAAAAAAGATCCAGTGTCATATCACTTTGATTTCCTTACTGGAAGTTGTAATTTTATATTAACTTTTTAATTTATTGTAGTACTATTTAAGGAATACAGTGATATTTTCTTCCAAACTGGTGTAATTGGCTTTAAATTTTATGAAATAATTTACAGAATCACTAATGAAACTACAAAAAAACATTTATAGTAAATGGCTATCTGTGACTTAATATTTTTTTAATAATGATGACTTAATGAAGGATAAATTAATGTTGAAGCACTACAGCAGCAGTTTTATTAAGGGCTCTTAATATATTTTCTGATAACTGTTATAAATCAATCTGCACAATAGCTACAGACTATTACTGACCGAGTTCAGAATATAATAAGAGTATTTATATTACTACTTATTGTATCTTACCACATAGTCTGCCTTGTTCGTGGTGGTGACCACACTCATGGCATGTTTTTAAATTAGTTTTCGGTACAAATGGCTTCCAAACATATTCAGGCCACCCAAATTTCCGATTCAATCTCTTTTCAACTGTTCTTCTAAACTTTGGTACTGCAAGTAAGAATCCATCTCCTATTAAGTCATGAATGGAAAAGGGTTTAGGAGTTGGCTTTGGCTGCTGATTAACAGAGACAGCTAACGCTAGTTCTGGAAAAGAAGAAATTAATGTCTAATTATATTATAAAAATCATAGTAAACAGCACAGATATATGAATATTTTATAGAAAGAAATAGTCTCAATAGTCTGATGTCGAGAAATAAATATTAGTTAATGTTAAATAGTCAAAGACTCTCAATCAGCAATATTTGTGTTTCTTTCATAACCAAATTGTAGATGAGCGGGTCTTGCTCGTAAACGCTTTAATGTTTTCATATTAAAATTTCAGAAACAATATAACCTTAGGTTTTAACATATAAGGAAATTTACATAGAAAATAAATACAAATTGTACTAGGAAAAAAACAGCATTTCCTTAGCTTATTACCTACCTTTTGGAGGATGACCGAAAAGGCTTAACAGGATCGATCTTTCTAAATTTTTTAAATGTTGGACCACTTGTATGAACCTTGGAAACATTTTGAGAATGGGTAATAATCTTAAGGATATGTACTATGATTACAATGTTTAATTTTCTTTTTCAGTGTTTCTTTGATCCTTTCTAGTTTATTTCAAAATATGGACGTAGATAAGATGTAAGATTTATTTTTTCTGGTTTAATAAAGTTTATGAGTGGGTACCTACATACTTTTGAGGTTATTTAACTGATGAAAAGCTAAGGTATAAGACCATACAGCCTAACCTTTTGTTATGTTATGAAGATCGAATCCAGGTCTATTCTGAAACTAACCACCTCTGATTTTAATATACGCTAACCTCATATAACTATCTTTTTTATGATTGAAGGATTACTGGTAGCCCCGAGGCCTTTCCAGTTTCACCAGGACAGGTGGGCGAGCAAAGGCTCAGCCAGGAGGGGTGGGAGTTGCTAACCACCGCCCGAGCGCCTCCGAAGGAGACCTAATAACTCTAGAGCAATTGTTTCGCGAATGAATCTACTACCGGATTGGAATCGCGACCTACTGAGAAGATCCGGCGAGAAACTCAGAGGGCTGTGTCTGTGGGTTAATTTATTCGTCGAGCCCTTCGTTGCAAGCGATGGGTTCCACGAGAACGATGACCGGTGTTGCACCGATGAGTTAGGTTGCACGTCGACCTCTTTGTCGAGTTCGACGAGTACAGTTACCGGGGTCTCTAAGCCTGCTTCTAGTGTTAGAGCTGAAGGCGTCTAATGCAAATGTTACTGGGTCTGATCGGTCCGTAAGGACGTGGTGTATAATTATCTCAGACGTCGTATCTGTACAGCCGTAGTAATTTAATGTAGGTTGACAGTCTTAACTCAAAGATTCATACAAGAAGAGAATTTACATATAGCCAAATTATTTAGTGAAAATAAATTCGTCACCGCTTTTCCTTATTTCACTCTCGGCATTTTCAGTGACTTCTATCAATGAAAGATCAGCATTGAATAATAATATACAATGAGTTACTCTGCGTGAGATTTAAATAAAGTTAAAAATATTTCTCTCACTCAATTTTTTTAGTAAGTTTACAGGAAATATTCCTATCAACATATATATGTTATACGTAACTCTTATTAAGTGTATAATCTATGTTATTAGTCTTTTTTTTGTATTGACCAATTGGTTAAGACTTTTTGGCGGGAACGCGAGGTGTGAAGTTGTGCGATTTGTTTTATTTTGTCTATTTAGTGTTTCTTCAAGTTTAAATTTGTAACAACAGTGGTTTATTAACTGTTTAGTATCTGTGAAAGTTCACAAATGTAGGAAAATGAAACAAAGCCGTTGGACGTAACTTCTCGGGATCCGCCAAAAAGTCCACAGAAAAAATCTCAGTAAACGACCACCATTTTACTGAGATTATATTTCATCCCTCCATCCATCATCTCATCTCATTTCATTTAATTTTATCTCAGTTGATTAATGTCTCAAATTCTTTATTTCATTTCACTCCATATTATCATTTTTCATAAAAATATCCCATATCATATCATATCATCTCATTTCAATTCATTTCATTTCATTTCATTTCATGCCATGCCATGCCATGCCATGTTTCATATTAATCAGCTTCATTTCATTTCATAATATCATATTTCATAGAAAAATACATATATAAGATTAGGCAATATGGTGTGATACCTTTGCCTTTCCATTTGAAAAATAAAACTACTACTACCAATTGGTTATTAAAGCCCATAAACTTCATTGAGAAGTGATTTATCTTCCTATCAGTTATTTGTCCTCGTTACTGTTTCTTTGATGTTTAATAACATTTTATTCGTTTTCAATTCACCCTAATTCATTTTATTCCATTTATTTAATTTTTCAATTATTTTAATTTTAAAATCAATTTCAGAAAAATTAAATTACTTTTTTCTGTTTTGTTTTTGGTTTCGTATTAGAAGAGATTTGGCTATATATGTTTTGATTATTTTACCAATCCAATAGGATAATTGAACTAAAAAGTCTTTGATGTAAATTCTGTTAATGTTTAATTTTTCTTATAGGCAACTTTAAAAAAAATGGCGTTTGACAATCAGCTGTCTCCATCCATTAATTGATAAAGTGGGGAGGAAAAGACAAACTCGTATGCCGCTTGCGGTAGGTAGTCCACGTCTTCGAGCGTTGCGTTGCAGTTGTAGCTATGGCGTGTTTAAGTTCGAGTAGGCTCTGTGCTCGTGTTCAGGATAAGTTAATGTGTCAATTTGGACATAAACTTCGAAAACAAACTGTATTTGTGAAACTCAAACCTCCTGGACCATCTCCGTTGCGGACATTTGGAAAGACATGTCAGGTTAGATAAGTTTAAATTAGATTTACTACTTCTTTTCTACTTTAGTTATTATCAAAACAATAAAATTGTGTTAAACGTTATGTACCATCATCCCGTCCTTTTTTGTTCTACAATTTACATAACAGTATGACGGAAACTAACCTATTTTCTGTCAGCTGATTAGTTATCAATTTAATCAAAGTAAAATAATGTTAATAATTTATGAATGAATTCATAGGTTACATACGTTTTCAGAAGTAAATTAAAAAAAATGAATGAAAAAATTTGAATTCTTTTTTTAAAATGATCGCATAAGTATGTAGATCCACACACGGAAAATGCTAAAAGTGAAACTTCTTATATTTATGTGGATTGTAGATAGTAGGTCGTTCCGTAAGCGGCACCGGTTAATGCGGTTTGTACAACGATTTTCACTATAACTCGGCAAATTGATTCACACGTTTTTTTTTTCTTCCGTAGGGTCAAAGTTTAAAATAAATTGCATTATTAATAACATATAGGTAAAATTGAAGAAAAATTTTCCAGTCACGAATCATTTTCACTAGTGTTTATTTATATAAATATACATCCTCTTTTTTGTAGGTACCTACATAATAATAATGTATCTAAAAACTGGTATTCCTGTTGTGTTAGCGCGTCGGTTAGCTGCTTAGCTGGTAGCTCGTCTTGCTTTCTCGCGCAGCGTGCGAGCATGCTATGTCCAATTTCAACGGTCCGCTCAAAACTTTCTAAGCAACAATTATATTTTGCATTAATATTTCATTTACTTCGCCAAACGCGTCGTGTAGAAGAGAGTTTATTAGCATAGGGAGGCAAAAAAAAATGGCTAGGTACCTATTAAATATCATAGTCGTTGAATTCCTAAAAAATGTAAACAATTATTTTGATGATGATTAAATGATTACACTTCTAAATTACATGCATTGGATACTCGTCAGTGAAAGCTGTGCGACGATTCGTTGAATTTTTAGTAGCGTGAAAACTGGGTGACTCGCCTGTGGAAGGAGCGGCAGAGCCTTTCTTATTTCCTTTCAGCCCGTTTCGCGAACATTGACCTTGATTGTGTAAGGTCGTTATAACAACCTGAAAATTAAAGTGAACTGGCCAAAAGGTACATTGAAATTAATTTCAAAAACGATTAATGAGAAAATAAAAAAATAAAAAAACGGTTTTTGAATGAAATAATAGAACGAACACGTGAATCGTGCCGCACGTAACATACTTCGTACATCAAGCTCAGTAGAAATGCGGAACACACGGCTATTTGTTCAGTCGACATCATTGTATAAGAGTTTGCAGCAATACGTACTACCAATGTGGCATATGTTATTTTCGAATTACCACATTTTGTTGAATCTTAAGTTACGTGATGATAATACAGAAGGGCCCCGAAAGCTGGACAATGTCATTGAGTGAATTCGGTACGCTGAATGCATTCGGTATTTTTTGCAATACACAGTTGGACAGAACAGAAAGAATGATCTTTATTCATACACGATTGGGATAAAAAAGAGATTTACATCACGCTTCCGATATTTTCGTAACAACAGCAGGCTATTAACAACATCATATTCATTTTCGTTTTAATGATAATTGCGTAAAATACGACAGAATTTCAAACATTTCGGTCAATGATTGTGACATACGACCCTGGGCCTTGGAAAACTTGAAAAATGATTTTCTATTAGCAATAATTTCTGACACTATAAATAATTCATTTTCGTGACCAACGTCTAAGAAGAAGTGCTAGCTGAGTGAGTACTAACAGGTTTTGTAGATTATTTAGATTATCACACTACAACTAAAAATCAAATAGTTTTATAAAACATTGTTGTTCTTAACAAATCACAAAAACACCGGTCATCTTTCACGTCGAACCCGTCGCGTGCGACGAAGGGCTCGAAGAGTAAATTAACCCACAGACACAGCTCACTGAGTTTCTCGCCGGATCTTGTCAGTGGGTCGCGTTTCCGATCCGGTGGTAGATTCTGCGAAGCACTGCTCTTGGTAGAGCCAGTGTTAGCAACACCTCCGGTTTGAGCCCCCCGAGGGCTCACCTACACGCTAGGGTAAAACTGAAATAGCCTCTCAAGGCTATCAGCATAGCTAGGAAAAAAAAAACTGTTATATTATATACTTAATATTCATTTCAAAATGATCACGGACAGAGCGAGTATTCTATAAAACTAACTAAGACGAATACGTGTTACGGACATTCGTTAGGTTCGTATTTATGAGTGAATTAGACGAACTCTTTCTTACAATATCCAGTACGCTTACAGTCTTGTAGTACACGCATAAAATACATAATATTAATGTTTAATGATCTTAAACTGGTAAACGATTTCGAATTCCTCTCGGTAATTTTTAGCGGAGTCAGGTTTTCATAAAGTCCGACATTTAAAAGAATTATCGCGTAATTATCTTGTTTTTAATCCGGATTGTTATTACATTTTGATATTTTTCAGAAATTGATATTTCTAACATACTTATTAATTTGAAAGTGATCATTTAAAAAAAGAAATATGACGTATGAAAGAAATCCCAATAAATAATCGTTCTGTGCTCTATTTATATTTTTTGTTATATGTACCAGCTTGCGACGAAGGGCTCGAAGAGTAAATTAACCCACAGACACAGCTCACTGAGTTTCTCGCCGGATCTTGTCAGTGGGTCGCGTTTCCGATCCGGTGGTAGATTCTGCGAAGCACTGCTCTTGTGGAAAAGTGCTACGAATTCGACACGCCGGTCATCATGTGTTTCGTTGACTATAGTAAGGCTTTTGACTGTGTTGACTGGAACTGCTTGTGGGATGTCCTCACAGAGTTGGGGGTCCCTCGCCATCTTACTGCACTCCTTCAGTCATTATACTACAACAGCCAGGGAGTAGTGAGAATCGATAGGACTACATCTGACTCGTTCAAATTTCACAAGGGCGTGCGGCAGGGCTGCATCTTGTCACCCATCTTGTTCAATATTTACGGCGAATACATCGTCAGGAAAACATGCGATGGATGGGATGGTGGTATTACCGTCGGAGGCTGTAAAATCTCTAACCTACGCTACGCTGACGACACCTCTCCTGGCAGCCAGCGAAATCGAGATGGGCAAGTTCTTGGACAGGATGGAGCGCATTAGCAAAGACCTCGGACTTGCGATAAACAGATCTAAAACAAAGGTCATGATCGTTGATCGCACAGGCAGACTGGAGCTCAGCGGTACAGTTAATTTAGAAGTAACTGACAACTTTGTTTACCTGGGCTCCAACATCAGCAACAATGGCTCTTGTGAACCGGAAATTCGCAGACGGATTGGGATGGCAAAAGGTGTCATGTCTCAGCTGGACAAAATATGGAAGGACAAAAATATCTCTATGAACACCAAGAGCAACCTAGTCCGCACACTAGTGTTTTCAATATTCATATACGGAGCAGAGACATGGACTATAAAGAAAGCTGACCGCAATCGGATCGATGCCTTCGAAATGTGGTGCTGGAGGAGGATGTTGGGTATTCCCTGGACCGCACGCCGCACCAATGTATCCATCCTAGCTCAGTTGAAGATCCGGACTAGACTCTCCACCATTTGCATGCGAAGGATATTTGAATACTTTGGCCACATCGCAAGGAAAGACAGTGACAACTTGGAGAAATTGGTGGTCACTGGTCGAGGGCAAGCGACCAAGAGGCAGGAACCCGACCCGTTGGACGGACCAGATTCGTGCAACCCTGGATACCACAGTGCACGATGCTCTGCACTCAGCTGCAGATAGGAACAGATGGCGGTGCACTATAAAAAACAAACTGTTTCAAGGCCATGACCACGACCCTCAGTAATGAGGAAACCGACGCAAGGAGGAGGAGTACCAGCAACACATAGACACGAACATGGGTATCCAAAACTCGAATACCAAATGTTCTATAAATATGTATAACAAAAATACTCAATTCGACTGAGGTTCTAAATCAAAGCCTGTGTCATAATACGCGGGCTTACTGACCACAACACCGAAACAGCACTCATAACGTAAGACAAATATCTTAACTAGATGTGATGTCCTATAGTGTGATGAGAAATGTGACTATTTAAAATATTATTAGTTTGGCAATATAGCAATTGGCAATAGACCGATAGCTGCTAAATTATTTTGTCTTTCTCACTCATGATTTCTTTGTACCAAAACTAAGTAGGAAGGTGGTACCTCATGGTCACAGCTACGACGCGACAAACATACAATATTGTTTTTCTTAAGCACTGATCGTAAAACATAATGTCAGCTCATTCGGTTAGGTGCCACTATCCCGCCTGTTTCGAAGTCCGGCTAGAAGGATCAAATAACCGGTTTGTAATGCAATTAAGACTCTTACTTATGTCTCAAGGTGATTGGGGATATTAATATCGTGATGACTATGAGCTCCGACGATCCTTCCATACCAGGCGGAATAGACACCATTTGCAGATCTGATTTAAAAAAAAAACAGTTAAGAATTACCTTGTTGCATACAAACACAAAAAAGTTTTGATATTTCGATCCACTGAACGACTTTATAACTTTTTTCTTATCTCAGTTATACGATGGATTGCCATACTTTAATAGAAATACAGCATTGCTTAGCAGTTCATCAAATATACCTGTTTTTCCAAATTCAATGTCTTAATATTTCCGAGAAAAATGGCTGTGACAGACGGATAGGCGGACAGACTGAAAAAGCGACTGTTTTGTATTTTCTCATTTAGATACTGAATCTTAATATGTAAATCGAAATTATGGTCAAATCTTTCTTAACTGTATCATGATTGAAAAAATTTGTAGGTACTATAGATGTCATAAAATATTAATTTTAACTGTCGTAGAATGAATAACGATCCTTATGAGTAGCGATGAATATTTATAGGTACCATTGCTTAATTAATAACATCAAATACTGCCTGTTTCTTTCATTATCACAAAAGAAAACTAACAGAGACTTAATTTTGCAATATTTTCTATTGTTGTTCTC